TAGCACTCTGGGAGGCCGAGGCGGGAGGATTGCCGAAGGTCAGGAGTTCAAAACCACCCTGAGTAAGAGCAAGACCCCGTCTCTACTATAAATAGAAAGAAATTAATTGGCCAACTAATATATATAGAAAAAAGTAGCTGGGCATGGTGGCACATGCCTGTAGTCCCAGCTATGCTGGAGGCTAAGGCAGAAGGATTGCTTGAGCCCAGGAGTTTGAGGTTGCTGTGAGCTAGGCTGACGCTATGTCACTCACTCTAGCCTGGGCAACAAAGCGAGACTCTGCCTCAAAAAAAAAAAAAAATTGTCTTTAGTTTTTCTGTAGTTCAACCTCCTTTTCAAAGACTTGACATTGAAATTAACTACTTTTTAAGTTGCAGAATGAGTGATATTTCAAATTCAGGTTTCTGTTACTCCATACCATACTCTAAATGTCTATTTCTATTTCTCTCTTTTCACCTTATTGAACATAAAACATTTTTTTTTTTTGAGACAGAGTCTCACTTTGTTGTCCAAGCTAGAGTGAGTACCGTGGCGTCAGCCTAGCTCACAGCAACCTCAAACTCCTGGGTTCAAGCAATCCTTCTGCCTCAGCCTCCCGAGTAGCTGGGACTACAGGCATGTGCTACCATGCCCGGCTAATTTTTTCTATATATATTAGTTGGCCAATTAATTTCTTTCTATTTATAGTAGAGATGGGGGTCTCACTCTTGCTGAGGCTGGTTTTGAACTCCTGACCTCGAACAATCCGCCCACCTCGGCCTCCCAGAGTGCTAGGATTACAGGCGTGAGCCACTACGCCCAGCCAAAACATATTTTTTTAAAAATAGTCAATCATCTACTTTTCTATTTGGAGATTCCAAGAAGATTTTGCTGTAAATGATTTAAAAGGGAGACTAGGTGGGAACAGAGACAGATGTGGGTGGGGTTATTCAAATTACTGAGTTATTTGCAGCCAGGTAGTAGGGGAGACTTTCTAGAAGTTCAAGAAGCATATATTGAAGTCTAATATCTCACCTTCTTATTATGTGTGTTTAGGATTGTATTGTCGGAAAGCTCTTAATATATGATAATGGCTCATATGAGCCTATAATCCCAGCACTTTGGAAGGCTGAGGTGGGAGGATCCCTTGAGCCCAGGAGTTCAAGACCAGTCTGGGCAACATAGTTAAACCTCATCTCTAAAAACTACATATATTTTTTATAAAAAATAAATATATATATTTAGAGACAGGGTCTTAAATATGTATATATGTATATGTAAAAGATTCTGGTAACCTTCATCATTTTGGATGCCTGTGAAAATCAAAAGTGCTTCAGTACATGGTTTATATGACTATGAATGTGACAGGAAAATGTGCAGAAGTTGGGTCTGGCACCAGTGCTAACTATAGGGTACTTTTCAGATGGTGCATTTATTTCTCTTCCACAGGATGGCTTTGGTTGTATTTCTTTCACCCTTTCTGGCTTTTATCTACCCCCTCCCCCTTGCATTCCTCACCCTTTACTAAGACAACCTTGGCAGTTTTCTTCTTTTGCAGCCAGTGTCCCTCTGGTAAGATTCATAATAAAAGTAATATTATTCCAACATCAGTTCTTCAAATATCAGCAGCCAAGTGAGCCCCTTTACTTGGGGTTAGCCTCCTCTGCTTTCATTTCAGCTGCAATTTGACTTCCAAATGTTCAATTCCTTAACCTCAGCCATCATCCATTTTTTAAATGGCTAAATTCCTCAAGACTTCTAGCTGATGGATATTTAGTAGCAGAGCTTGGATACTTTGTTTCTGGGGCTTTGGAATAGAGCCATAGGCTTTGGCAGGGTTGCACAGGCTGTTGGACAGAGAGAGTCTTCCGAAGAGTTTCTAGCTGTTCTCCCATCTGTCTCTCTCCCTCCCATCTTCTTTCTCTGCCTTTAGAAATCCTTTTTACATGTTAAGGGGAAAACAACTTCCTTATCTTTTGGCTAAGATCAAGTAATCCTCATGTGTTGGGAAACATGTGATATGGATATTTGCAATGGGGATTAGGAAGGAACTTGCTTTATATACTTGGTCCTCTGCATTTCAGGGCCCCACCCCCATCTGCCTGCCAGAGTGTGAGTAAAGTACTAAAGTCTGGTGGCCTCACATGGTTGTTATTGGCCTCTGGACTGCTGAACTGCTTTTTTTTTTTTGCTTTGCTTTGTCCCAGCCTTCTCTTGAAGTCTGAATTCTTCCTGAAAAAGTATATATTTTACATTCCTATGCTAAATATTAAGTTTTACATTTATTAACACACATTATAGGATCTGAGGCTCTCTAGGTACCTCTAGCCTCTTTTTCTATAGTCCTTTGTTTTCCTACCCTCCATCCCCTTAGATTTATTACTTTATTTTGGTTGAACAAAAATAAGTCTTTGTTTGTTTTCCTGCATAAACAGCTCTTTATCTTGATATAATATAGTGTTGCTTAGATTCCTTTTCATTTTTATCTGTTTATCTTCACATACTACTTTTTTTTTTTTTTTTTTTGAGACAGAGTCTCACTCTGTTGCCCGGGCTAGAGTGCCATGGTGTCAGCCTAGCTCACAGCAACCTCAAACTCCTGGGCTCAAGCAATCCTCCTGCCTCAGTCTCCCGAGTAGCTGGGACTACAGGCATGCGCCACCATGCCCGGCTAATTTTTTTCTATATATTTTTAGTTGGCCAATTCATTTCTTTCTATTTTTTAGTAGAGACGGGGTCTCACTCTTGCTCAGGCTGGTTTTGAACTCCTGACCTTGAGGGATCCACCCAACTTGGCCTCCCAGAGTGCTAGGATTACAGGCGTGAACCACCACATGGAGCCCACATACTACTTTTGTTCAGTTGTTGTGAAGGGGGGAAATGTTTGGGCTTGATTGATATAGTTCATCCACTCATTTACCAATTATGAAGTGCCTATTATTTGCTGTCTCTAAACAGGCATGTTCATCAACAAATAGCACAAGGCCTCTACCACTTGTTTTCAAGGGCAAGCAGACATCCAGACAGGGAAATGTAATAAACAAATGTGACATGAGTTATAGCAGAGGCAATTGAATGGTGAAGGGAAAGTAATTTTGTCCAGGGGGTTGAGAAAAGCTGTCACTTGAGCTAGGTCTTGAATGAATAGGAGCTCATGAGGTTGAGTGGCAGAACAGGAAGGGCCATACAGCAGAGGAATGGCATGTGCAAGATACAGAGGCCCAAGAAAGCCTGGTGTGCTGTGAGGCTAGCAGGTGTTTGAAGGCTGATATGGCTGGAGGCTAGTGCCTGTGGAAGAGGTGGTGTCTGATAAGATTGGGGAGGTAGGTTGTTTGCCTCTTTATGCATGCAGAAGGAATTGGCTTCTGCTGTCTGGAGCCATGGGGGGCTGTGAGTAAGACACGTTGCTAGGGGGCATTATGTTGGATCATGTCAAGAAGGAGAGCTTCTGATCCCACAGTTCTCAACCTTGAGCTTTCATTGTATGGACAAAGTCCATTAAGAACCCCTGGTTGGCCCTTCTTATCTGGCATGTCTAGGGCACCTTGGACCTCTTATCGGCTTTGAGCGGTGGTATGAACCTCAACCCATAGCCATTTGCCTGCCTCCCCCTAGGAGCTGGTTCCAGCTTTCCCAGGGTGGACAGGGATGGATGCTTTGGGATACAGAAGGAGACTAGCAGAGGATGAGCCTTTTCTCACCCTTTTCTTTCTGCTATTACTTCAGATCTTGGCTTCTGCTTTCTTCCAAATACACAGCAATCCTGGCTCCCAGCCTAGGTGGGAGAGGGAGAAAGAACCGATTTCCTTCAGCTCCTCTCTGAAAATAGCCCAGCCGGCACTGGCACTGCTCAGGAACAAGCAGTTCCTGAGAGTGCTGGCACCTCATAGTGTTGATGTCTGGTAGTCCCTGCTGTGAACCTTGTCTCTGCCCTGCTAACCCTCTATCCAGGGCTCTCTCTGGGGGGAATTCGGGAGGTCTTCAAATCCTCTGCAATACCAGCTGCCTCCAAGGCGTAGCATAGTGAAGTGACAGGGAGGTAGGGGAACCTTGGCACCCTGGGGGAATTGGGGATAATCTGTGGGAGGCCCTGCAAGGTGGGGAAGAGTCTGGTCATGGCACCTTCTGGTCTGTTCTAGAAAGGGTGGGTGCTCCTGAGGCCCAGCTCTGGAATGTTCACTGCAGCCCCATCAGTCTCTTCTGGATATCTGATTGATTGCTGCCGGACTTCCTAGAGCTAGCGACTGGGGGTGGGGTTAGAGTCAGAATCAACCTCAACTTTCCTGTCCAAACAGATTCATTTTAAAGCATCATGAAAAAGACTATTAGAGTTAGTTAGGTAAAGTTAATGAAGCAAAGTATTGTAGCGAGTGCTCAATAAATAGTTGCTGCATGAGGAATTACTTGAAATAAACTCAAGATGAGTCTTGAAAGGCTAGTGGGAGTAACCTCTGCAGGGGAGCAGAGGGGGTCTGGCGCCAAGCCCCAGAGGCTTGAGAGGGCAAAGTTTGGTGCGGGGGGGGGGGGGGGGGGGAGGCAGAAGTTGGGTCTGGTTTGCTCTGAGAGTGCAAGTGGCCGTGCGAAGTTGGGAAGACCAGGCGGTGGGCCAGGGCAAATGGAAGGTGGTGTGGGGTGGTCACTACACTGAGTGGGCGAACAGGGGCCTCCGGATCCGGGGTGGACAGACTTTGTCCACCTAAAGGTGGCTTCCTGCTAAGCCCTCCCAGCGTCAGGCCGGAAAGAACCTTAGGGAGAGGAAGGTTCGACCTCGCCGCAGTCGAAAGCGAGCTCCGGACATTACTGCCCTGCGCCGCCCACCGCGGCCGCGGCCACAGCCATTCCCGACGTTCCACTTTAAGGGGCGGGCCAGGCCCGGGCGGGGCTCAACCTCTTCCCCCGGGCCGCGCCGCCGCCGAGCAGAAGCTGTAGCGGAAGCGGCGCGGCATCGCTGGGACCTGTAGGCTCGGGAAGGGGGTCGAGCTACCACCTGATCGCAGGCTGCTTTGCCATCGGTTCCACAGGCGCCATGAGCCAGAACACCGAGGTGGATATGAAGGAGGTGGAGCTGAATGAGCTAGAACCGGAGAAGCAGCCGATGAACGCGGCGTCAGAGGCGGCCATGGCCATGGCGGTGGCGGGCGCCGAGAAAAACGGTCTGGTGAAGATCAAGGTGGCCGAAGACGAGGGGGAGTCGGCGGCCACGGCCAAGTTCACCGGCCTGTCCAAGGAGGAGCTGCTGAAGGTGGCGGGCAGCCCCGGCTGGGTGCGCACCCGCTGGGCGCTGCTGGTGCTCTTCTGGCTCGGCTGGCTCGGCATGCTGGCGGGCGCCGTGGTCATCATCGTGCGGGCGCCGCGCTGTCGCGAGCTGCCCGTGCAGCAGTGGTGGCACACGGGCGCCCTCTACCGCATTGGCAACCTTCAGGCCTTCCAGGGCCCAGACGGGGGCAACCTAGCCGGTGAGTGCAGCGCGCCCCCGGGGGCTTTAATCTGGTCACCTGCGCCAACCCCCCTCCCCGGTGGTCCTCGGGCGGTCTTTGGCCGTTCTTCATCCCAGCCTTGTCCTTCCCTCCTTTCTTTGAGAAGAACCGACCCCGCCCCCACTCTTTCCCGAGGGCGGCTGACTCAGCACCCTCGTGAGCCCGGAGCCAGTCACAACTGGTTTCTGAAGTAATGTACTAGGCCCCTTACATCAGCTGCTGTGAATCTCATGATCCAGCTTTATCCGCAGCCCACCAGTCCCCATCCTTAGGCTCGGAGAGAGGAGAGAGTGGGGGAGATCACGGGCCTCACTTGTTAACTTAGCCTCCCCATTTCAGGTCTGAAGGGGCATCTCGACTACCTGAGCACTCTGAAGGTGAGAGGCCTTGTGCTGGGCCCAATTCACAAGAACCAGAAGGATGACATTGCTGAGACCAACTTACTACAGATTGACCCCAGTCTTGGCTCCAAGGAAGATTTTGAAAGTCTCCTGCAATCAGCCAAGAAAAAGAGTGGGTGTCCTGGGGTTCCCAAGGAAGCAGCTACTAAAGGCTTGGCCTTCTGGCCAGAGGAAGAGCAAGATAGGACTTTTGTCTGGTTTACTCCTAACTGTATCAGTTTTCCTAGGGCCTGTACAAGGGACGTTTGTTAAGCTTTTTCCTAAAATGAGTTGGTGTGTGGTTCAGGGGCTTTCTACTTGGCTGTGTAGTCTTGGCAGGTTATTTAACTTATGGCCTTTAGTATCCATATTTGCAAAATGTTGGCTTTTACTAAATCAGTGGTTTTTTTTTTTTTTTTTGAGACAGAGTCTCGCTTTGTTGCTCAGGCTAGAGTGAGTGCCATGGCGTCAGCCTAGCTCACAGCAACCTCAGACTCCTGGGCTCAAGCCATCCTTCTGCCTCAGCCTCCCTAGTAGCTGGGACTATAGGCATGTGCCACCATGCCCGGTTAATTTTTTCTATATACATTAGTTGGCCAATTAATTTCTTTCTATTTATAGTAGAGACGGGGTCTTGCTTAGGCTGGTTTCGAACTCCTGACCTTGAGCAATCTGCCCGCCTCGGCCTCCCTGAGTGCTAGGATTACAGGCGTGAGCCACCGCGCCCAGCCTAAATCAGTGGTTTTTAAACTTGTAAAACAGTGGATCCTTTTGGGGAAAAAAATCCAAAATACTGTCTTAAAATTCAATATAGAAACAAATTTAAAGGGTTCACTTTCGGGGTGGAGAGCTGAAGACCCCGTAGCTCAGCCTTCTTTACTATACTACATATCTTCTGCCTTCTAAGATCTTAAGGTCCCTTCTTGCTCATGTCTGTGTTTCAGTGGAATGAGTTTTCCCAGGTTTCAAATCTAAGCTTTTGTACCAAATAACACATAGAAAACACTCAACAGACTTGTGTTTGTGATTTCCTCATTCTCCCTTACCCCCATTGTTCCAGGCATCCGTGTCATTCTGGACATCACTCCCAACTACAAGGGCGAGAACTCGTGGTTCTCCACTCAGGTTGATACTGTGGCCACCAAGGTGAAGGTGAGTGTATTGGAGCTGATGGCACGGGGGAGCCAGATATTGTGGCTGGGTTGGCCCTTTTCAGCCCTGTTAACCTAGCCTAGTTTCAGCTGAGGGGCCTTTTTTGCTCCTTGGGGCCAAGCAGGAATGCCTCCTCCCTTGGCTCTGAAGACAAATTAAAAAAAAAAAAGAAAAAGGAAAAAAAAAAGGAATGCCTCCTCCCATAGCTGAAGGACATGCCAGCTGTGCACCCCTGTTTTTCTTGTTCCTTTTCTGACCACTCATTTTTTTTGTTTCCTTGACTCTGAGGGAAAGACCATGCCAGGAAGGGATTTTCTCAGATGTCACTCTGAAGGTTTGATTTTTCTTCCTTTTGGGAGAGGAAGCCCTTTCTCTGTGGGAATCCTGTCCTGGCTGGTTTCCCAATTCTTGTTTGATGTGTTTGGAGTGGAGCCCAGTCTGCAGTTACAAGGACTGGGGTCTTCCTATGCATCTGGGACTATGCCAACTATTTTATAGCTGTTTTCTAAGTCCCTGTATAACCATACAAGGTATCTATTATTATCCCTAATCTGTAAATGAGGAAGATAAGGTTCCTAGGTGCTTCAAGTGCCCAAGATTTGAAGTAGTCTTTAGTCTGCCTTCCCTGAAGGTATAGGTTCAAACTGTACACCGAGCAGGCTGGGCACGGGACCTTGAATGTCACCTTAGCTCCTGATGGCTGGGTTCTAGGACACTGATAAGTCAGAATGGGAAGAACAAAAATGAAGGCAGATCCTGACACTTTGCTGTCAGGGTCTGAGGTAGAATTCTGGACTGCCAGCATTTGGATAGGATCTCTGGGATCCATCCAGTTTAGTCCTTGCCAGTTGCTGGGAGACCCTTTAAAAGTTACTGATAGGGCAATATTTTCAAATGGTTTGGCATGAGGTGGTCGCCTCAGATGGAAATGGAGATCAGAGGAGAGAGCACTGGCACAGAGAAGGGAAAGGAAGGGGCAGTGGGGGTCGGGTTCCATGCTGTGTGCCAGCTGACCACCAGGCTGTAGGCCTGGGCCTGTTCTGCAGAGCTGGCCTCTTTTCAAATCTTCTAAACTGTCCTGGGCTGTGGTTTGAATTTCTATCTTTCGTCTTTAGCCTTGCTCTCCCTAGCTCACTCCAGAAGTAAATACACTTGCCTTGGGATCTTGACTGACATTTAGGTCTGTCTCTGTTGCTCACTGATTATGATGTTGGGAACATCTTCTTGCTTTTCTAAGCTTGTTTCTTCATCTTTAAAATAGATATACTAGCATTCCACATGCTAAGGGTTAAGTGAACTTATGTTTATGGACCCATTTTTCTCTTGGACCTTTTCTGTGGCTGTCAAAGGTGAAGCTGTATGATTTACCAGAAACAGGAATGGAGAAGTGAAGTGCTATAGCATAAGAGAACCCTTGGGAGGTTAGTGCTGAAGGGGACCAAAGGCCAAGACTTGTCATCCAGGTGAGAAAGACCCAGGAAAGGCAATGGATTCTCTCAAGGTCGTAGGGAAGTATGTAGTGGGCGAGGTTTGGCATTGGCTGGAATTTTCTGAGTATGATATCTTTCCTTTATTCTTTTGCCCCCTGTAGGATGCTCTGGATTTTTGGCTGGGAGCTGGTGTGGACGGGTTCCAGGTTCGGGACGTGGAGAATCTGGCGGTGAGTTACCTGACACATGAGAGGCAAAGCTTGGATGAGAACAGAGAGACTCAGGCCAGGCCTGGTCGTGTTTCCTATTCCTTGACTCTTGCTTTTTTCTTTCTAGAATGCATCCTTATTCTTGTCTGAGTGGCAGAACATCACCAAGAGCTTTGGCGAAGATAGGTGAGTGCCAGAGGCCACCTTCCTGACTCGGTTTCGCTGTGGTAGCCCCTCAGTGGACCATGGGCCCTAAGGAGAGGGGGAAGGGATTCTTAGTCCAGAGAACTTTCTTTACTTCCATTCTTACTTGTACCAATCTTGGCCTCTGCTTTCTCCCGTGCAGGCTCTTGATTGCAGGGACTGACTCCTCCAACCTTCAGCAGATTGTGAGCCTACTTGAATCTACCAAAGACCTGCTGTTGACTAGCTCATACCTGTCAAAGTCCAGTTTCACTGGGGAGCAAACAAAAGTCCTAGTCACCAAGTTTTTGAATACCATCGGCAATCACTGGTGCGCCTGGAGTGTGAGTAGCACAGTGGGGGCAGGGGGGCTTTTGGAGGAAAGGGTTGTTGGGAGATAGAAGCAGAGGTGGGCTATGTGGCTCACCAGAGTGTCTGTCCCTGCAGTTGTCCCAGGCGGGGCTCATGACTTCCTTCTTGCCGGCTCAGCTCCTCCGACTCTACCAGCTGCTGTTCTTCACCCTGCCGGGGACCCCCATTTTCAGCTATGGGGATGAGATTGGCCTGCAGACAGCTGCCCTTCCTGGACAGGTACTGCTCGCTGTCTGCCTGGCACCGTGGGGGAGGTTGTGTCCGTGCGTCTTATGATGGTTCTGTGGATGGCGGCAGATAGACATGAGCCTTGAGGTGAAACTGCGTTTGATTCCTATACTAGTCAGTCACCTGGTCAGTAGCTGTGGCTCTGGGCAAATTATTTCACCCCTTGATTTTGGTCATGTCTTCTGTGATACTGCATTCTTACAGGGTTAAATCTTACAGGATTAAATGAGGCCATGTTTTTAATGGTAATACAGGCACATCACCATACCTGGTAGATAGATGTTCACTGTAGTAGTCACCATTCATTTCATTCCTTCATTCTTTAGAGAGAGAGTACTCTTTGCTAGGATCTGTGCCCTCTAGGAGCTCATAGTTTAGTGAAGGAGCCAGATGGATAAGCACAGTACATGGCAGTGAGTACTGTGACAGGGAGACTAGCAGGAAGGCATTCACTAGCTTTAGCTATAGGGTTAGAGTTGATCTATAGGGTTAGAGCTTAACCTGAGGTTTGTAGAACTAGTCATTCATTTATTCCACATATTTTTATTGAATAATTTCTATTTGTTAGACACTGAGAATACAGCAGTGCACAAAAGTGCTGGAGGTGGTTAGTTAATTAACGTGCAAATATAATAAAATGCCAGTGCTGAAAAATGCTATGCCAAAGAGGGCAGGGTATGGCCTAGAAAATAGGGATGGGGTATATTTCATAGTGTGGCCATGGGAAACTTGATGAGATAACCATGCCGAGACCTGAGGCAAGTGAGGGAGTCGGCCTGGGGACCCTCTTGGGGTAGCCTGCCCTGCTCGTCCAGTAAAAGTTAGCCCAGAATGGGTTGGGAGGTTATGCCGTAGTGAGGATGGGAACAAGAAGAGGGATAAGGAGGAGTAGATCTAGGCCTTTTTCTTTCTTTCTCTTTTTTTCAAGAGATAGGGTTTTGCTCTCACCCAGGCTGGAGTGCAGTGGTGCATTCATAGCTCACCGCAGCCTCAAACTTCGGGCCTCAAGGGATCTTCCCGCCTCAGCCTCCTGAGTAGCTGGGACTACAGGTGCATGCCACCACGACTGGCCCAGGCCTTTTTCAAGTCCTATTTCCTCTGCTTTTCAGCCTGTGGAGGCCCCAGTCATGCTGTGGGATGAGTCCAGCCTCCCGAACATGCCAGAGTCCATAAGCGCCAATGCGACTGTGAAGGTAAGGGCCCTGACCAGAGAGAGGGTGAGCAGGGCTTGTAGAAGTCTGTACTCCAGTGGACTCACTCACCCTCTCCTCTATGTCTTCATCATTCTCAGGGCCAGAATGGAGACCCTGGCTCCCTCCTTTCCCTGTTCCGCCGGCTGAGTGACCAGCGGAGTAAGGAGCGCTCCCTGCTGCATGGGGACTTCCATGCCCTGTCTTCTGGGCCTGGAGTCTTTTCCTACATCCGCTACTGGGACCAGAATGAGCGTTTCCTGGTGGTGCTCAACTTTGAGGGGGCAAACCTCTCAGCCAAGCTGGGGCCCTCCGACTTGCCTGCAACTGCCAGCCTGCCAGCCAGGGTTAACCTCCTGCTCAGCACCAAGCCAGGCCGAGAGGAGGGCGCCTCCCTTGAGCTGGAACACCTGAACCTGGAGCCTCACGAAGGGCTGCTGCTCCGCTTCCCCTACGTGGCCTGACCGGGACCCACTACCCCTCCCCTTCTTCTCCTTGCCACAGGCCCTTTGGGTTCTGGTTTTTTTCTTTCTATTTTTTTAAACTGTTGCAGATACAGATGAACCCCAAATAAGGTGTTTTCTGCCTTTAAATAAAAGTCACCCCTGCCTGGTGAGGTCATGTCTTTCTTCTGCTCCTCTGTCACCACAGGAATTTCTCACCTCCCCTCTCAGATCTGCTCCAGAGTGATCTTGGCCAGAGCTTCGTTATTCACCTGGGGACCAGGACCCAGAGAAGAAGGGGTCTTTCAAAGTCACCAGCAAGGAGGTATTAGGGTTAGGACATATCTGCATGTCCTCACTCAGGCAGGGCCAGGTGGCTCTCCTGGAGGTCTTGCTGACTCTTACCTTATCCCCTCAGCAAGGGTCTCCAGCCAAGTGTGGTCAGTTTCTCTGTTTTTGGAGACTTAGCCTTTCAGGGAGAAAAAGATGGGATGGTCTGGTTTTTAAGAGAGGTACTTCTGAAGAATACTAGAGTTCACTCGGAGAATTTCTTGGAACACTCAGCTCGTACCAGAAACTGTTTAAGGTCTTGGGATTACTGCAGGGAACAAAGAGCAGAATTCCTGCTTTGTGGGGAGATGGAGAAGAAGAAATAAGACAACATTTACAGTGTGGTGGATGTGGTGATAGTATTGGAAGAGGAAAAAGCAAAGCAGGCAGGGTTTTGAGGGTAGTGGGGTTTGAGGTAGGGGCTGGAGGAGGCCTTATCAAGGAGGTGAGCTGTGAATAAAGGCCTAAAATAAGTGAGCGAGTTTACCTGGCAGGAATCCGGGGAAGGAGCTTTCCTGTGCCAAGAGTGGGAGCCTGGCTGGTGTGAGTGAGGAGGGAGCCAGAGGAGACAAGTGAGATGAGGTCTGGTCTGGTGGGCAAGGAGTGGGCAGGTCATAATGAGGTGGTCACAGGGTGCAAAGAGTTTGGCAAAGTGCACAGAGGGCACAGTCCCAGTCCCCACAAGTCTGCCCTCACTTCCGACACTAGCTGCTAGTTCAAGAGTTGCCCACGACCGTCCTTGGGTAAGTAGCATGCTAGACTGATTCATAGAACTTGGGAAAGCACTAGGATTACAGTTATTACAGCAAAAAGATACACAGAGCCAGCCGTAGGTGAGAATCTTAGGGTGGAATCTGGTAGGGGGCCAGACAAGAAGCTTTCTGTCCTAGGCACCAGACTGCCTCCTGTCTGATGAATGTGTAACAACCGAGTGGGAAGCTACTGCAGAGTCTTCCTTAAGGGTTAATCACATAGTGCTGGTGTGGCTGATCTTAATCTCTAGCACCTGCCAGAGTTTTGGGCTAATACCTTAAAAAACAAAACAAAACTCCCCAACATTGTTTGACACCCCTGTCAGGCAGGTCATTCCAGGGGCCTAGAAGTCAGTTTCCAGTAGCTGAAAATATGAGGGTAAAGACCAGAGTTCTGCGGCTGGGCGTGGTGGCTCACGCCTGTAATCCTAGCACTCTGGGAGGCTGAGGTGGATGGATTGCTCGAGGTCAGGAGTTCGAAACCAGCCTGAGCAAGAGCGAGACCCCCTTCTCTACCATAAATAGAAAGAAATTAATTGGCCAACTAATATATATAGAAAAAATTAGCCGGTCATGGTGGCACATGCCTATAATCCCAGCTACTTGGGAGGCTGAGGCAGCAGGATTCCTTGAGCCCAGGAGTATGAGGTTGCTGTGAGCTAGGCTGACACCATAGCACTCACTCTAGCCTGGGCAACAAAGTGAGACTGTCTCAAAAAAAAAAAAAAGACCAGACTTCAGGGTGGGATGAATTCTTCACTGTATATAGGGTTGGAGGGAGTGGAATGCAAGTTGTTGGAAGGGGGTTTTGAGCAGAGCAATATGGTCTAATTATTATTATTTTTCTAAGAGCCAGGATCTCGCTCTGTTGCCCAGGCTATATTGCAATGTTGCAGTGGTAACTCCCTGTAATCTTGAATTCCTGCACTCAAGCCATCCTCCTACCTCAGCCTCCTGAGTAGTTAGGACTGTAGGTATGTGCCACCACACCTGGCTAATTTTTTAATTTTTTGTAGAAATGGGGTCTTACTATATTGCTCAGGCTGGTCTTGAACTCCTGACCTCAAGCTATCCTCCCTCTAGCATCAGCCTCCCAGAGTGCTGAGATTATAGGTGTGAGGCACTGCACCTAGCCTGGGCCTTAATTTGGGTCTCTCTTGATCTGTCCCCTATACCAGGATACCCTCAGAGGCCCAGGCCCAGTCTAAGCCACAGCCCATGGGAAGGAAGCCCCTGCCAGTGACCAGTGTTGTTTTCTGTAAGAAAGCTAGGAGGGCCAGACTAATCCCAAAGCTCTGGATCTACCTGCAAAATCAATGTAGGATTCACACTTCTTACCACCTCCACTGCTACCATCCTAGTAAGTATTCTAAGTTGCAGTAGCAAATCACCCTAACCGGCCTCCCTGATTCCCAGCTAGTCAAACAGCCAGTGACCTATTAAAATAAGCAGGAGCTCACTCACACCTGCAATCCCAGCACTTTGGGAGGCCAAAACCAGAGGATTTGCTCGAAGCCAGGAGTTCAAGACCAGCCTGGGTAACATAGCAAGACCCCTGTCTCTACAAAATATTAAAATAAAAAAGGGCCCAGACCTTGTTTGCTTACCCTTGTTCGCCTTGCCCTCAACCGTGCCTGAAGCCTGTGAGGGTACTCGGGTGCTAGAGCACAGTTTCTGAGAAGATATACCCAGCCTGGCCTCGCCTCTCCACCTAGGGTTTCCCTTCTTTCTCCTGGCAACCCCTCCCCTCTGGCTCTTGTCTACTCTGGGCCTCTTCCTGAGGCTCCCCACCCTTCCCTCTCCATGTCCTTTCCCAGGGTCCCAGCACCAGCCCTCCCCTCGCCCCCTTTCCTCTGCCTCCTGGCCTCCCCTCTGACACAGTTGTTATCATTGTGTTGCTACGGATGGAGCCTCAGCATGGTTATGTGCTTCACAGCTCACTGTGGGTTTTCACTTTTAAAAAAATTGTAAACTACAGATGACATAAAATTTACCATTTTAACCAATTTTAGGTATACTATTCAGTGGCATTAAGTATATTCACATTGCTGTGCAACCATCACCTCCATCCATCTCCAGAACTATTTATCGTCCCAAATCATCCCAAGCTGAGACTGTACCCATTAAACAATAACTCCCTTGAATATTTGTTTTTTTTAAACATTTTATTGTAAGAATGCTTAGCATGAGATCTACCCTCTTCACACAATTTTAAGTGTATAATACATTACAGTTGACTGTAGGTGCCCTGTCATTTCCCCTTCCCCCCGGCCCTAGCACCCACCCTTCCACTCTTGAATTCTATGACTTTGATATTTTATTAATAAATACCTTATATAAATGGAATCATGCAGTGTTTTTCTTTCTGTGACTGGCTTATTTCACTTGGCATAATGTCCTCAAGGTTCCTCCGTGTTGTGCATATTGCAGAATTTCTTTTTTCAAGGCTGAATAGTATTCCATTGTATGTATGTTTTCTTTTTCCATTCAACTGCTGATGGACATGTAGGTTGTTTCCACATCTTGGTTACTGTGAATGATGCAATGACCATGGGAGTGCTAATATCTTTTGGGGGTCCCGATTTCAATTCTTTTGGATAAATGTCCAGAAATAGGATTGCTGGGCTATACGGTAGTTCTATTTTTAGTTTTTTGGGGAAGCCCCATGCTGTTTTCTATAGTGGCAGCACCATTTTGCCTCCCTTCCAACAGTGTGCAGGGCTCTGATTTCTCCACATCCTTGACAATGCTTGTTGCCATTTTGATAATAGCCATCCTGACAGACACGAGGCAATAACTCATTGTGGTTTTCATTTGCATTTCCTTGATGATTAGAGATGTGAGCACCTTTGCATGTACATGTTGGCCATTCATATGTCTTCTTTGGAGAAATGTCTATTCAAGTTCTTTGCCCATTTTTAAAATCTGGTTACCCTTTTTTTTCTTTTTGCTATTAAGTGGTAAGGTTCCTTTTATGTTTTATAGATTAATCCCTTATCAGATATATGGTTTGTAAAATTCTTTTTCCCATTCCCCCCATAGGTTGCTTTTTTACTCTGTTTCCTTTGGGCAGAAGCCTTTTAGTTTAATGTAGCCCCACCTGTTTGTTTTTGTTGACTGTGCTTTTGGTGTCATAGCCATGAAATCATTGCTAACCTCAAAGTCATAAAGATTTTCCTCTATTTTTTCTTTCAGGAGTTTTCTAGTTTTAAGTCTTATATTGAAGTTTTTAATCCACTTTGAGTTGATTTATTTTAAATTTTTTGAGACAGAGTCACTCTGTTGCCTGGGCTAGAGTGCCGTGGTGTCAGCCTAACTCACAGCAACCTCAAACTCCTGGGCTCAAGCGATCCTTCTGCCTCAGCCTCCTGAGTAGCTGGGACTACAGGCATGTGCCACCATGCCCGGCTAATTTTATATATATATAT